TATTGATTCCATTTCCAAACTATTATACTATGTGAATATATTGACAATTGATTCAATTATATATAAATAACAACTTTAATTTCTGTATCAAGCCTCCTGGGTATTATTGTTTCCTAAGCATCATTGAGGGGGCACTTGTTCTAAATATATGCAATAAGTCTGGTTACCATTAATTAAAAAATGTCCATATTCAGAGTTACAGTTGTACTGTTTTTATTAAAATACTACAGAATAATACTTTTAAGAATTATAATTGAATGGGGACTGCATGGTTAAAAGAGGAGGGGGGCTTATTTATTTTTGTATCCAAATGAGGGGGGGGGGGTATTTATTTTTGTATCCAAATGAGGGGGGAGGTTATTGGAGAGGGGCTTGAAGAGAAGGAGGCTAAATATAGAAATTACAGTACCTGCATTCCTTCCTCTCCCTTCCCAAACATCTGCAGGAGAGGGGGCAACTGCAGGGGTTAAAGCATGGATTGCAAGGTTGATGTATAATTTGCATGTTATGTACCTGGTAATATGGAGAAATGAGCTAGTGAATATATCCTTGCCTATAATTAGTTGCTGATTAAATGTTCAAAGATACACAGTGTGAAGCATGAAAAACAAATGGAAGATACCCACAGCCAACAAATTTTCAACAAATATATATGGATTTGTTCACTTCATTTCTTACTTTCGACACAAGTAATTATGATAATTATAATTACAAACACAATGTACTGTCATTTAAAGACTTTATATGTGATCCATGTATATATGTTAATGTAGTATAATAAAAAAAGTAATGTGTTTATTGTTAAAATATGGGATATATAATACCGTAAACCTCTGACTATAAGCCCTGGGCTTATATTCTTTTGTAAGTGATTTTTGATGGGCTTAGGGGAGGGGGCTTATATGCATGGGGGCCTTATACATGGACGATCAATTGTGTTAGTAATAAACAAGTCAGTCATAAACAGGAAAATAAACATGTATTAATAACACACTTTGATTAACATAGTAAGCTATAAAGACAATGACAGTGTTTCAAATATGGTTCTCTGCTATATTAAAAGACAATGTCAATGATAAATAACATAGTGGGATACTGGGCTTATATTCAGGGGGCTTATATTCCGGGGACTTATATTCAGGGGGGCTTATATTTGGGGGGGGGCTTATATTTGGAATGAGGTGAGCATTATATTCAGAGGTTTACAGTATACAGTTCAAAAAAGCTTGTATTTTCTTGTCACAGACACATTTCTGGGTGCATATAGAACAGCTTATACGTCAGGTTCTCATGTCGATCCAATGGTAATTTGATATCGCTGCCATCACCATAATATAGTAGCACGGAATGGCCTTGTATCATACTTTGACATCATGCATGCAGAAATGTCTTGGTCATTCATGTGGAGATATTACTATCAGTCTATCACGATAGAATTAGTTACGCCAAGTAACACGTCGTACACGTCAGGTAGCAGCTGAAATATTTTAATATTTGCCATAACAAGCCCATAACCTGTTGGCAAAACAACCAAAACATTTTCACCATTTTACATTATGGCCGAGATACATTTGAATGTCTCGTCTTTTAACGAATATTCAAGCCCTCTTTTCGCTAGAACAACTTCCATAGCTCTTTCAGTATTTGCCATTGAATATAATTTAATAGTAGTACGATTTAAAGCACCTTTAAACGTATAAAAAACGATTTTGTATACTATATTCTGATGAGAATCTTTGTTTAAAACAATATCGATTGTGAGCGTGTGCCCGCGCGAATTTAGTAAGCGGAATAAACAAAGGCAATAAAAGCGCATGCGCCATTTATCTCATTTTGGATAAAAAAAATTCGATTTCCCCAGAGTCATGCCACAACCTAACCCGCGAACAGGCATACTCTGGGAACGAGATTGATCTATTGTACTTTTAACTTGAAAATAGTGTTCTTGGTAAGAAGCACAATTTCCTAATAAATCAGTTATTTCATCCCTCCATGAAGTGAATAACATGATTAGTTCACGGTAATGCTTTTCAGAATCAACTTCCTTGTTAAAACAGACACTTCGAATAACTCGGGCTTTAGATCTTTTTTTATTCTTTTGTTCACTTTCTTCTTCCTCATTATTATCATCATCACCACTCAAGTTTGTCTCAAGTGGATAATTATCAATATCTAATTCACGAGATGGTTTGATATATGGCTTACCAGTGGAGTCGTACCATGCAGCCCAATCTGCAAGGGACACATTTTCAAGTTTGGCTGGTCGTTTTGTGTAACGCTTTATTAGACCAGATGCATAAATTTCATCAGAATCATCTTCCAAATCATTAATTTCTTGCAATGGTTTTAGTAACTGAACTCTATCTTCAGGGGGTGAAGTATTTATAAATACTACTTGACGAGAAGATTTCCTCATTGGAAGTTGAAGTACTATATAGACTGCTTCTTGTGCACTTATTTCAACATTGTTCAAAAACCTATTTCCAATATCTCTCACTTGTTGTTTAATACTGGAGTTCCCCCTTTTTGCTTCTTCACAAGCCGTTCTCAATAGCTCACTCATGCCTTTTTGAGCCTTGGATATATATGATACAATGTATATTGCACATGCATATACATCTAGTACAAACTGAATATCCATATTTGCACGCCATGCACTGAGACATGCAGCGTTATAATTATTGATCCTTAGTTCATTCGGTTTCCTTTTCAAGAATATAGTTGGTGTCTTGAGACTAGATTGAACAGCTAGCAAATAGTTTTGTTTTGTCAGTTTAAGATTTACAAGCAACTGGTCAAATGTAATGTCCTCACCCTCTTTCATATCATTCAGATGTTTCTTTATAAATTTCCAAGTATCTTTATGTTGATCAACTTCATTATCATCCATATCAATATCTAATGGATATAGAATTTTAGTTGACCTCATAGGTGGCTGTGGGTAATTAAACACACACTTTTGGATTTCTTTCGACATCTGTGAGAATGGCGATGAACTTGCCTGTTTACAAGTGCAAGTAAATCTGGATTCTCAGTTGGCTTTTCACATGTGATTATCGTATCAATGAATGAAACAACATCACAATCAGAATCTTCCCCGAACGTAGGAGCATTTTCTAGCCATATTAACATGTGAATATGAGGTGATCCTCTTTGTTGATATTCAACCCTATAGAACCAGTCTGCAATTTTTCCAAGAGGTGCAGCACTACTTAAAAGAAAGTTTTGCAAAAACTTCTGTACTTGATAATCAAAATGCCTGGCACATGTCACAGGATCGCTCTGAATTAACCTACTTTTCTCTTCCCAATTGAGGTTCTCAAGTTCAGTGTCAGTGTATGTTTTGTTATCAACAAGTTTACCAAGTATTCTCAGTAAATGAGTCCATTGTGTTTCCGCTGAAGAAAAACTACAAAATAATGAAGCAGATCCTAGCTGCCTGATCATTGCAAATATATCCTTTTTAGCTTTTTCAAAATATGGAGGTGAACCCCTTACTGCTCTGAGAAATTTAAATCCTTGATCATGATGAATCATGTTATCTAATGCACCTGGTTGTTTTAGTTGACCGGCAGTGATTGTGCTACTATTTCGTTGACATTTTCTTAATGCAACTTGTGACTGCCCAAGCAAAATTTTCATTTGCAATTTCTTCGTTTTAAAGAAAATATTTTCCACACACATTGCAGCCCTTCGGTCAGACCGTCTTAATTCAGATTTACAAATTTCACTATAATGGACTTTGGTTAGTCTATTTGTATTGTCTGGTCGCTTCTGTCCAAGAAATATACCAGGATATGCTAATTCCTCTGAGTATTTATCTCTAAATATACTCATAGGCCTATTTCCCTCACCAGGTGCAACATTTAAAATATGCTGACGTTCATTATCAGTGACAAAATCTGGAGATGTTAACATAGTGTCAGTGATTCCAGCAGGTATTTCTGCCTCGTCTTCACTCCAGTGTTCATCATCGTCATCACATGCTGATGATTGCTGGGTTTTACATTCTGTATCACAGTTCAAGCTTTCTGCATTACAGTCCACAACATTTTCTGAACCCTCTGAGGTTTGATCATTGTCACTATCATCAAATAGCATTTGATTATTTGAATTATCTTCAAGCCAAGTGTCATTGAAAGTTATACCTTCATCTTTATAAAGGTTACCATTATTTACAAGCCATTTGGCAGCTTCTGCTACTTTATTTGGTCTGACGTTTAGTGATAAAGCTGAACTTTTGTATTGCAATCTTCTCTTAAGGTTAACTTTAATTGTGCTGGTGTCATTTGGAAACCTTGGCAACATGTTAACAGTATTAACAACATCTGCTGGAACATTAACAATGTTTCCATTGATTTTTAGTTGTCTACCTCTAGGAGCCTGCATTAATTTTTGAAATGCAAGTCTTGGAGCAAGCAATCTGCACTCTAATTCATTTAGATCAAAAAACGAAGGTTTTTCTGGAAACTGCAGCCCATTTATGGCAGCACAAGGAGGCACCTTATTGTTTTTTAAATGCTTATTACATGTTTTACACAACCACTCCACATTATTAACACTTTTTCTATTTAATAATCTTTTTTGAACATCAGGATTATTTTCTTTAAGTGTTGTGACTGGAATGACACTATGCTTGTACCATAGTTGGTCACAACAAGTGCAAATATAAAGAGGACCTTGTGAGACAATATCATGAAATTGGGATATTAAACTTTGTACCGGTTCAATCTCACAACATTTTTGTTTCCTATATTCCTTTGCGTGCAGGCTTTTCTTTTGCTTAGCAACAATGCTCAGTGTTGAGGGCTGGGAACTCTCACTGTCCTGTTTTGTTTCCTATATTGCTTTGCATACAGTCTTTTCTTTTGCTTAGCCTCAATGCTCAGTGTAGAGGGCTGGGAACTCTCACTGTCCTGTTTTTGTTTCCTATATTGCTTTGCATACAGTCTTTTCTTTTGCTTAGCCTCAATGCTCAGAGTTGAGTGCTGGGAACTCTCACTGTCCTGTTTTTGTTTCCTATATTGCTTTGCATACAGTCTTTTCTTTTGCTTAGCCTCAATGCTCAGTGTTGAGTGCTGGGAACTCTCACTGTCCTGTTTTTGTTTCCTATATTGCTTTGCATACAGTCTTTTCTTTTGCTTACTAGCCTCAATGCTCAGTGTAGAGGGCTGGGAACTCTCACTGTCCTGTTTTTGTTTCCTATATTGCTTTGCATATAGTCTTTTCTTTTGCTTAGCCTCAATGCTCAGTGTCTGGGAACTCTCACTGGCCTGTTTACGTTTTCTATATTCCTTTGCATAAACTCTTCTCCTTTCCTTAGCCTCAGGGCTCTGTGTCTCATTAGCTAATTGTTTTTGTTTCACGAGGTTGTTCATATACTGCGTTCTTGTTTGCTTAGGCTGAGAACTAGGGGTTGACTGTTCAGGATATATCTCAACAAAACCTGACGTTGAAGTACATGGCAATGTTGATACATAGTGATACTCATCTATATGACCCAAATAGACATGAGTTAATTGCTGTGTTGATGATACAGGTTGTATTATACTGTACTCACAAAACCCTTCATGCATTTCTGCAATAGTAATTTTTAACTTAAGCTGGTCAGCCACAGCTTGTATTATCATAGCATCGCCCCATGTCCCTTGCATAGACATATTATTAAGGTATTCTAACCAAGAGATTTCAGTATTACTTTCAATGAATCTCTCAGGATTATCTCTCATATATGCAATACCAGCCGCTCTAACTTCAAAGTGTCGTTCAGGGTTACCATATAATTGATGTGACACAGCTCGAAAGAAACAGTCACCATCACCACCGACATCAAATGGTCTTAACTGAAAGCGTCTTAACCTTTGTTGTAATACTACATTTGACGGCAGCCTAGTAGGACTGTTGTTTTGAACAGGACTAGGATTTAATTCAATATCTCCTGACAACATTAGTGTCCTTTGAGATATGTGATGTTGTTCATTGGCAATATTGCCTGCTATGTTTTGAGTATTTAACATATTACACAATGATTGTTTTGCTGTATACATGTTTTTGTGAACTAAGTTGACACAAGGCTTAAAATATCCAAATGAATTAATAAAAATATGTTGTATTTGCACAAATTGAAAACAACATTGCTTGAAATTACTAGCTATCATGTTCAAAATGGATGACCTGGGGGCAGTTCTTACAAAATAATGCTTTAAAAATGATCTATTTTTTCTCTTTCTCATAGCCAATATAATTCTCTTTAAAGGCAATCTGGAAGGTGCACGGTCTCTAGATCGTTTAGCATTCGCTTGCTTAGTTAATTTCCGTACAGTCGATCTGCAACTACATGCACAGTGATCTGAATTACACTTAATATAGCTACCATGAGTACGGTATAAATGTACAATGTTATATGTATTTGCTTGTTCTGATCTCCGAAGAGATTGATTTGGTCTCCGAAGAGATTGTTTTGCTCTCCGAAGAGAATGTTTTGATCTCCGAAGAGATTGATTTGCTCTCCGAAGAGATTGTTTTGATCTCCGAAGAAATTGTTTTGATCTCCGAAGAGATTGATTTGGTCTCCGAAGAGATTGACTACTTACCAGATGAGGAAAAGTTTCCATGTTGATAGTAGAATGACGAGAAAATAAGAGAGTAATTCAGAAGATACCGTATTTTTTAATCCAAAATGGCGAACACTTGCAATACCACGAGGCAAGCCCGCCATCTATGCCCGTTCGCAGGTTAGGTGTATGCTCGATGTAAGCTAATCGCTGATTGGCTTAAATTGGCTTAAATTGGCTGAATTATATAAGCCCGTCGCTGAATGGCTAGGGATACGGTACGGCGCTAAAACTTTGAAACTAAATATATTTTCAAAATTCCACATAGCATTTGCTTGTTGTTAAAGTAAATGTAGTTCACGGTAAAAGTTTCGAAGAAATTTATTTTTCGAGCCCCAAGTCAGTGGGCGGTTTTTAGAGACACACGCTCTTAAATTGGACCAATCAGTGTCCGCTATTCGTGACAGTCCGCCATATTTTTGAGATCAGTGAGGATGACCCATTGAACTATAAATAAACTGGAAGGCTAACTCAGGGGGGGGGGGGAAATTGAAGCCAGTGCATTTTAGTTTTTCTGAGTTATGAGCAGAAATACTCAACACTGAACGTTGGGCTATATATCAAATTGAAGCTATTGAAAAACGCTATTTGGGGTAGAAATTTCAAGATTTTAGCTAAAAGGGAA